AGCCAGACGGGCCTCATGGGGACTCCTGTAAGGGGCGGGGTAGGTGGGGCCAGCTGATAGTCAGGACTACCAGTTTGCTGAACTGGATGTCAACATCTGGTTCACCTGAACCGGCCCGAACCGGCTGAACCCCAGCCCTGGAAGCAATATACATAAACCATAAGAAAACTATATTTCACGAGTATACTCAAAATCTCTGGGAGTAGCATCAAAATGAGCTATAGGAATTTTACATGGTAAATGAACCACACTCCAACAGATAGCTGAGGAGATGAGACTACATTTATGCCCATCTTCATTATATTGTTTCCCCATGCATAAGAACTTGTTTGGGGAAACATTTGATTTGATATTCACTCTCATTGATGGGAATTAGAGGGTTTTAAAAAAAATCTAGGAACTAATCTGTTCTTCAGAATTAATATTAAAATCAGTGGGATAAAATCAGGAAGGCAGGTCAAAATAGGCAAGAAATTGGTAAGAGAATACCTATGCACTTTAGATGAGTGTCAGTATTGACTCTTGGCAATTGCCTGGATTAGTCCCTACAATTTTCTTGAAAAGTTTTCAGAAATGGTTTTCCATTTTTGTAGAGCAGGGGTGTCAAACTCACGTCATCACAGCATTGTCACATGATGTATAGTGACTTTTCCCCCCTTTGCTAAACTGGGCGTGGGTGTGGCCAGCGTGTGATGTATCTGGCCCACGGGCTGTGAGTTTGACACCCCTGTCCTAGGGCCAAGAGAAAAACAGGGTGGCCCTGTTGGCTTTGTGCCTAAAGCAAGACTACAACTCACAATCTCCCAATTTCTAGTCTGGTGACTTAAAGCACTAGATTAGATTATAGATTAACATAGTTGGAAGGGATCTTGTAGGTAATCTAGTCCAACGCCCACGCCCAAGCAGGAGACCCTACACCATTTCTGACAAATGGCAGTCCAATCTCTTCTTGAAAGTCTCAAGTGATGGTGCTCCCACAATTTCTGAAGGAAAGCTTTTCCATTGGTTGATAGTTCCCACAGTCAAAAATTTTCTTACTTCCAGGTTAAATCTCTCCTTGTTCAGTTTCCATCCATTATTCCTTGACTGGCCTACAGGTGCTTTAGAAAATAGCTTGACCCCTTTCTCTCTGTGCCAGCCCCTCAAATATTGGAAGACTGCTATCATGTCTACCCTGGTCCTTCTCTTCACCAGACTAGCCAAGCCCAGTTCCTATAAGAGTTCTTCATATGTTTTAGTCTCCAGCCCTCTAATCATCCTGGCTGCTCTTCTCTGCACTTTTTTCTAGAGTGTCAACATCTTTTTTTATAGTGTGATGACCAAAACTTGATGCAGTAATCTAGGTATGGTCTTACTAAGGCTTTATTGAGTGGCATTAGTACCTCACTTGCTCTTGATCAAGTGTATCACTATACTAAACAGTCTCTCTGATTCATATTCCCTGGGCCCTTCTAACCAGTAGGCATTAATAACCTCTGTCCATTAAGAAAACAGCATTATTGTGAGTATAAAAAGCTAACTGAGAAAAACAACAACAAAAGAACAGTCTTGCAAATATCAGTTGAAGGTGATGGCTTCTGGGTTTGCTTCTGATCATCAAAGTCTATATTATCTATTCTGTAACAGATTTTCAACAAAATAATGCTTTGGGGTTTTTTATTTTAATTTTGAAAAGTACTTTGGAATTGAATTGCCATAATTGTAGAAGCTGTTCATCAAGAAGGCAGAATCGTCTTGTATGTATGAAGTCATTATAAATGTTTCCTGTTCTAAGAGAACATTCACTTCACACAATCATTAGATTATGCAGGATGGGTTTTTTTTTGACTCCTCACCTGAAGAGCATATTAGTTGATACATAGATAAGCAACATCTCTTTCTAGTTTTCAATCCTAATTACTATTGGTTATCAGGAAACCAGTCTTTTACAAGTAACCTCATTGGTTTCTCAAGAATTGCAGTGTACTGTAGATGGTGTGTTATTTGGAAATGTTCCTTAACCAAATATAGCTTGAGTCCTTATTTACATTGCATGTAAATATTCAATATTTCATGTAAATATTGTTCTATGTTAATAGCACTTCCTTGTTTCAAAATTGTTGATTATATATGAACACTTGCACCAGACCGACCATCTGGCTAAATAAAGTAAGTTTTGCAAGCAGGTAGTTTATATATAAGTACAAACTATAGAGCAATTAGATTGTGAAGGTGCTAAAGTTAGCACTTTAGAGCATAATATTGACTGTCTTCAATCTTGGCAAAGAAAGATGCTACTATTTTAGACATCTAATAACATCCAGAGAAGGCTTCTTTAAATACAGGGTGTATGTGTGTGTGTAGGTGAGCGTGTGTATATATGTGTATGCATAGTATGTGTATATGTATACATAGTATATGTATATATAGTATATGTATATGTGGTGTGTGTGCGTTTGTGTTTGATTTTGGGAGGGGACTATAAAAATACTTAGATTCAGATGTCCTTGTTTATTTAAAAAGTTACATAAGTTTGCAATATTGAGACAGCTGACAAAGAATATTCACATTTCACATAGAGGAATCATAGTTCCATTTTACAGAAAAATGCTTTTCATGCACATGATTCATGAGAATACAATTTTCAGATCTTAGCACCCATCACATAAAATACTCCAAATTTTTCTTTGTTAAAAAAAAATGTATGCCTGAAACTTTGGAGAGGTGCTGTCAATTAATATAATGATCAGGCTGGACGATCAAATGGTATGTGGATGAGAAGCGAAATGTCTTCAAAGAAAAACCAGAAAGTCCAGTTGCCTTTTATAAAAACACCTTTAGGACAACCGTGACCGGGATGGCTGAGAATCACTATAGACGATCAATGGTATGATTTAAGGTACTCGTGCATGAGGATTTTGTTCCACTTTGAAAGTAACTCTAGAACTATCATGACCATAAGCTGAGCTGATATACAGTATTTTCAGTTCAGCTGCAGTGGAAACTATTGCAAAGCTCAACAGCAAGACTTTCCCACACACAGAAATGGAAAAATGCACAAATTTTTGCGGAGTGGGATTGCGAAACAACTTTGATTAAGTGAAAGGCTTTGTCTAGCTTTGTTTCTATGTTGAAACCATTTTTGGAGTTTTTGCTTGACATTGAAATAAAATTTTATTTTATTTGGAATTTGACAATTAAAATTGTTTATGATTTTTTAAATGTCTATTTATTTACAGTATGT